ATGTAACTTTTTATAGAAATACATAACCTATGGTAAAAAGGTATAATTTGAAAAAGTTGTAAAAAAAATTAATTGTACCTACTTAACAATTGTAATTAATCAATATATGTAGTATGTACAGTTATGTATTTATGTCACAAACGCACAACATAAACCTTAGGTATATGAAAATAAAATCATAATACATATAGAACACAATAAGTACTTAAAAAATAATAAAAATAAACTCTTTATAAATGCCAAAATATGGCTATAATGATGCATACCAGTACAATGTGAATATGTTGATTTTATTTAATTTTCAGAAAAATAATGTTATATTTTAATGTAAATTCTAAATATAGTAATAACTAATAAGTATTTTCAAATTGAACAGTTTTTGTACAACACTAAATTCTTTATAAAACCTGCATAGTGCAAATATTGACCACAGATTTTAACTTTGAATACAACACTAAGAAGTGCTTCTAAAACTATTACATGACTAGTTTAAAATTTAAAATTTTTAATTTTTAAGTTAAAATCGTTTAAATTATTTCAGATAAATAATTTATTGGTCCAGTATATTGCGAAAGGCTTTGTAAATGGTTGGTCCTCACAATACTGTTTGTGTACTTGACTTTTCGTAAAGAAAATACTAATTCTGGTCATCTCCCTGAAATTGTTGTATTTGTTTATCATGGTGGATGAAGTGCTTAGTACCTATGTAAATATTTAATTTCGGAATTACAAGTGACGTGCATTATTATTCATTATTTTGATATTAGTTACACTCATACAGTCATAATATACCTACTTAATTTTAATATTAATATTTAGAACATGTACAATGTGAATATTTTGATTTTATTTATTATTCAGAAAAATAATGTTCTATTTTAATGTAAATTCTAAATATAGTAATAACTAATAAGTATTTTCGAATTGAACAGTTTTTGTACAACACTAAATTCTTTATAAAACCTGCATAGTGCAAATATTGACCACAGATTTTAACTTTAAATACAACACTAAGAAGTGCTTCTAAAACTGTTACTTGACTAGTTTAAAATTTAAAATTTTTAATTTTTAAGTTATAATCGTTTAAATTATTTCAGGTAAATAATTTATTGGTCCAGTATATTATATTATAGTATATTATTATATTATTAATCATTTAGAACATCTGTCTTAGATAAAATATTATTTTATAAGAATACCTATTGTAATTTTTAAATTGATTTATAGTATTTTTTATTCCTTGTATATATTATATTATGTTTATTTGTCATTAACTAGTAATAATAAAAACTCCCTATTTCCAATACAAGCTGCATAATAGAATATTCTATTTAAGTTATATTGCCCTCAGTTCTAACCATACACAATATAATATATTAATTATTACAAGTTATGCTTAACTAATGTTTTAATGAACCCTAATGTTATACACTTTATAACTTACAAAATAATTGTTCTCACAAACTCCTCATACAAACATTTAGCTGTGTCATATTCTAATATGTAGAAATATGAGTAATTAAAAATGAACAATTAAGCAACTTTTAACTTATAACCTTAAAATTTAACTATAGACATAGTCAATAGACATACTCTTATTCACAAAGTTGCATTTAAATCTCAAGTCAAAAACCAACAATTGAATACTTTTAATGGCAAGCGGAAAACAAAAACATCCATATAATTTATGTTTTTTAATTTTATTTTAGTTTTTAATTAATTTTTTTGTACATTTTTTTTTTTTTTGGTTTGCTGCTGCTGTTTTCTAGATTGTGTTGTTGGTGTTGCTGTTGTTGTTGTTGCTGTTGCTGTGTTGCTGCTGTTGTCGTTGTTGCTGTTGCTGTTGCTGTTGTTGTTGTTGCTGTTGCTGCAGCCGCAGCAGCAGCAGCAGCTTGTGCACTTAGCCTTTCAGCCTTAGTGACTGCTGCTGCTACTGCTGCTTCAGCCCTCCTAACAGCAATTGCGGCCCTGGCGGCCTTGGCCCGTGCTCCCTCCACTGCCGTTTTCTGGCAGGAGCCGGTACCATGGCCATTCCAGCCGCAATTCTCGCAACCTATGAAATCAAAAAAATTAATATATGTAAAATAACAGTGAAATGGGTTATTGTATACGTAAAATGTTAAACGTTAGTAACTCCTTTAAGATTGTTAGAGAAAACACACTTTGACTACCTATTACAAGAACAATATTATAATATAGTATAATAATTATAATAGAAATTCGCCAAATTAAACCGGTGTGAAAAATAATGCACCGGGATGTTTGGACCATATCATTTACATGGTTCATTATCCCGGTGCGGGATAATGTGGGATAATTTTAAACAGGTTTAGTGTAGCAAATTTCTATTAAGACTCAAAACATTGACCTCTAATAGGTACCTACAGGCTATAATAAATTCCAAATTAATCATATCACAATATCCATTAGGTACTTATGTAAAGTTTTATTCCCGGCGCTTATGAAAACTATTAGGAATATTAAATTTTGACCTTAACAATGCATCAACGATATTCACTTTCCAATCGAACAAGATACTGAAGTTGAAAATCGAAGCATTATTTCGACTACTTATCGTGCACACAGACACAAAAAAAAAAAAAAAACACATCATTGTAAAATCAATACATTCGTCGTTCCACTCAGAATCTAAAAAAAAACTGAAACAACACATCGTTGATGATTTGGCAATACCTCGTATCTGACAATTTTTCGATTTTGACATTTTGGTATCATTCAATTCAGAATTTCAAGGAGAATAAAAACTATTTGAGGTTAAAATATAATATGGTTACTGATATTCTGGGAAAATACGTTAGAGTAATAACTTGTATCAGAATTTGATTTACAATTACTCGTATCTACACACGGCATAGTGTAAACTGGATAATGGTGCATTCAGCATTGCATTGTAGTATAAATTATTATTATTTAGCTTTAATAATGTGTTGTTTATTGATTCATTCATTTCTATTATTTTATTGTGATTTTGTTATTTAATTATTATACTCAATATCGTAGTAGTAGGTGATAAGTACAAATTGTATCTGATTTTACAAGTACTTTAGTAAAAAACCAAAATGTGGAAGAGACGGACAAAAATGATGTTGAGCATTGCTAGAAATCCTAACCCGATTATTATCGAAGTGCCAAAAAATCCTAGTAATGAATTTGAGTTTAATGATAATTTAAACGAAGAATTTTTAATGTTATGTGACAGTGATGATACATGTAACTCCTCTTCAGAAATTACAATTAATGAAGGTAATGTAATACTGAATTAATATATAATAATTATAATAGTGTAGTAGGTATATTATGTTATAAAATTATGTAGTATTTGAAATATTTAATTTAAACATGCCATTATTCACTATAGAAATTACATTTTTAAATAACAAATCAGAAGTTAGTTTTGAATAAAATGATATAATGTTATTTAGAACTGCTTTTTTTTTTTGGTATCAACTTTTAATTTCTAAGGTACATAAAGTTTGATTATTTTTATTATAGTGATTTATTATTTAACAATACATGAATTTTATTGTTGAAGTTGAATTGATTGATTGATTATTATTTTCAGTTTTGTTTAATAGTGAAAATGTAAACAATAGCAGTCTAAAATCTGCACAATCTATAGTAGAAGATCATTCTATGCATCATACTCTAGTCAAAGGTAATTTTACTTCAAAATATAACGATAAAATATAACTTAGATTGAATTAAGGGTTAAATGAAACAATTTTTTTTAGATTCATGTGAACGTATAAATATTGATGACATTGAAATGATAGCTCAGTCTAATGACGATGAATATTATGTAGACCCGAGAATAAATGAAGTAGTTATACAAAATGAAAATATAACTCACACTGAAGTTAGTGATCAACAAAGTGATTCTATGCAACATACTCTAGTCAAAGGTAATTTTACTTTGAAATGTTACAATAAGATATTAGGTATAGGTAATATGACTTGAATTGAATTTTAAATAAAACATTATTTTAGTTTCATGTGAAAGTATAAATGTTGATGGCATTGAAATGATAGCTCAGTCTGATGACGATGAATATTATGTAGAATCAAGAATAAATGAAGTAGTTTTAAAAAATGAAAATAAAACTCACACTGAAGTTAGTGATCAACAAAGTTATTCTATACAACATACTCTAGTCAAAGGTAATTTTACTTTGAAATGTTACAATAAGATATTAGGTATAGGTAATATGACTTGAATTGAATTAAGGGTTAAATGAAACAATTTTTTTTTAGATTCATGTGAACGTATAAATATTGATGACATTGAAATGATAGCTCAGTCTGATGACGTTGAATATGTAGAACCAGGAATAAATGAAGTAGTTATACAAAATGAAAATATAACTCACACTGAAGTTAGTGATCAACAAAGTGATGGTAGAAACAAAAACACTGGAGAAATGAAACGCATTACAGCTAAAAATCAAAGAATGCATGGTAAGAAATATACTGGATATCATAGACAAGGGAAAACTGTGTTCCAAAACATTGATAGAGAAAATAGGAAGGTCAAACCACGTTGTAACTCCAGTGTGTGTCGAAAATCTAAGAAATGTAATCTTTTTTCTGAAGAAGACAGATCTAACTTATTTGAATGTTTTTGGTCTACTACTTGGGAAGTAAAAAAATCATATATTATTAATTTAGTAGAAAAAGCTGATACTAAACGAAAAACTAATGGTGAAGATGCTGACAGCAGGAGATCTGTTTCGTTCAAGTATCATTTAAGAGATATAAATGATACAAAACTCAATGTTTGCAAAAAGATGTTCTTAGCAACATTGGATCTTAGTGATTGGATGGTACACAATTGGTTGAAGTCGTCCGAAGGATTATCTCCTAAAAATATTAAAACTAATAATCAAAATAAAAAAGATTCTGAAAATGAGGTACCAAGACTCAAAACATAATTTACAGTTAGGTATGAACATTTTACTACCTGGTTCTCAAGACTTCCAGTAATGGAAAGTCACTATTGCAGAAAACAAAGTAACAGGCTTTATTTAGAAGGACCATTTGATTCAAAACAACAACTATATAATTTATATTTAGAAGAAGCCAAAGAGTTTCAAATTGAACCTGTAAGTAGGAGTTGCTTTTCTAAATATATAAAATCAAAAAAATTTTCATTATACAAACCTAGAAAAGACCAATGTGATATATGCTGTTCTTTTAAAACACATCAAGTGTCTGAAGAAGTGTATAATAAACACATATTGAATAAAAACATGGCAAGACTACAATTAGATATTGATACAGAAAAAGCAAAAAATCTAGAAAAAATTGTTTTTACTATGGATGTACAAGCCGTAAAGTTATGTCCGGCCATGAACGCAAGCGCTCTTTACTATTCAATGAAGCTAAAAGTGCATAACTTCACACTATACAATGTAGGTAATGAACATGACTGTCACAATTACTGGTGGAATGAGTGCGAAGGAGAACTTGAAGCTTCTGTATTTGTTAGTATAATCATTCATCATCTCAAAACTTATTGCATTGACGATGATAACAAAGGTAATAAAAAAGATATAATTCTATACTCTGATGGCTGTGGCTACCAAAACAGAAATTCTGTCTTGTCAAGTGCACTTTTAAACTTTGCTGTTCTCAATAATGTAGTTATAGAACAAAAATTTTTGGAAAAAGGCCACACGCAGATGAGTTGTGATAGTGTCCACAGTTGTATTGAACGAAAGTTAAAAAATACAGAAATACATTTGCCATCAGACTTCATTCTAGTTACTAAAGAAGCTAGAGTTAACCCTTCTCCATATAAAGCAACTCTTTTAGACCATACATTTTTTACAGATTATAAAAAAAACCAAACTTATTCATCTATTAGACCAGGTAAAGGTAAAGGAGATCCAGAAGTCAGAGACCTAAGATGTTTAAAGTATGATCCTGCTACTAAAATGATTTATTTTAAAACCATATTCAGTGATTCCTATGAAATGTTACCTTTACCTAGAAATAAATATTTTAAGCTAACTGAGGATTATGAAAAACTATACAGTAGCCAATTGCCATTAACATTATCTAAATGGACAGATTTACAGAAATTAAAACATGTATTACCAATTGACACACATTCATTTTATGATACATTACCTCATGCAGCTTCATATAAGCAGAGGAAAGTTCAAGACATTTAAAAATGTCTAATTTATTTTAAGTATTAATATTTTTAGTACCTATATTGAGTTTATTTTGTTCTTTATACATTGATTAAAGTTGTTAAGTTTTATTGTTTTAGTGTAGTGTTAGATAAATTTAAGTCTTATAAAGAAAAAAGTTAACTTTTTTGAGTTTTAAGTTTTGTTATTAAATGTATTGAAAAGAAAAGACTCTTAATGTAAAAGTAAACGGTGCAATTCCTAATAATGATTTAATATTTTTAGTTTTAAAGTATGTTATTTTGTTTTTAAAGTAAATGGTGTAAGCACAAAAGAGTTAATTTATTGTTTTTATATCAAAAGAATTTTAATATTTGTATTTTTTAATTTTTTTGTTATACTGTATTGTTTGACTTATAAGAAAAATATAAGAAAAAAATTTAATTTTGTTGAGTAACTATGAATACGTCTTATTTTTTTAAGTTTTAATTCCAAAATTTATTGAAAAAAAAAGACTGTCTTAATGTTAAAGTAAACTGTGCAATTCCTAATAATAATATTAGAATCAATAAAAAGGTACCTAAATTTCAAAATTAAAGAATTAATTGTTACTTTTTTTTAAAAATATTTTCCTAATTAATTCATAGTTTGTATTAAAAACAGAATCTAAAAATATTAGTTAGATAAAATATTATGAATTGTAAAATAAACAAAAATAATAATTACATAGGTAATATAATTTTATACCACGTAAGTACATTCATAATTTTTGAAATAACTTGTATCGTCATAATGCAATACCACGTAAAACTTTTTTTGTTGGAATAACACGTATCTACACTAAAAAAATTAAAAATAATGAAATTAATTGAAATAATTAAAAAATAGTGATTAAATTATATTTTTTTAGTAAATATTAAAGAATTGAGGTTTTTCCTATTTTACAAACAAAATAAACCGGTTTTTTGAGCCTCCTGAACAATTACTGAAATGTCAGATACGAGGTATTGCCAAATCATCAACGACATTCGGGTGTGGGGTCATCTCAAAATATTGAAATTTCATGAAAATAGGGTGAAGACCTTCTCTGACGACTGACAGGGATTTCTTACTAAATATTATCTCTTTGAAATTTAATTAAATAATAAATATACTTACGCTGGCGTCTGTTGGAGGGCGCTATATCGGGATCCTGCAACGTTTCACCGCCGTTTACAATACCACGACCGCGGCCGCCACGACCACCACCACCGCGTCCGCCACCACCGCGTCCGCCACCACCGCGTCCGCCACGACCGCGGCCACCACCGCCGTCGTTCCAGCCGCCACCACCGCCGCCGTTCCAGCCGCCACCACCGCCAGTAGAGAAATAAACATTGATCGACATCTATATTATAGGGACATTCAATTAATATAGGTATAAAGTTCAAATGAGATTTTAAGATTATATGGCATGTTGTATAAAAATATAATTCGGCAATAAATGGCCACTCTCATTCACCATTCATAAATGGTACAGAATTGTCATTGATATGTTGTTTTATAAAATTAATATATTAGGGCTGCACTACAATAATAAATAATAATGACTATTCTGTACAGTGTATATTGTGCTAAAATAAAAGGACACAAATATGAAAATATGTTTAAAATAAATCAAATATAAATAAAAATGCAGCAAGACGTGTCCGTAATCCGTTTATACTATAGAATAAATAAATACAACCACTGAACCACGGTTATTTATAGTTTATCCAACAATAATTAATTAAGGAAAGGGATAATGATATGTTACATTTTTCAATATTATAATAATTAAAATATGGATTAAGTGAATGTTACTTATGAAATTTATTATGTTACTCTATCTTTTTATTTGTGTTAATTTTAAATTAGGTTTATTTGTGTGTAATTTTGTTTATTATATTATGTAATGTAACTCTCTACCACCATCACAAGCATTACGCTTAAAGGAGGTAGATACTTTATTGTGAACATTTTAATAATATGTAAATCATTTTATTTATATTTTTACAATAAAATTTATATAAAAAAAAAAAATACTAAAAAGTAAAAGGTAAATACGTAAATGTGAAAATGTACTTACGTCGGTAGTTGGAAGTGGTCCGTACTATGAGACCGGAGAAAAGTTAGTGATGGTCGATGGACGATTGTCGCTAGTCGCCACCAAGAGTCTTAGCCGTTGCTATCCCACACACCCCCACCAATCACATACATCATGAAGATAGTTTTGAAAAAAAACAGATAACCGGTGCGCGGCGCGTTTTTTCACAACAATTGTCTTGTCGGTCTCCTTACTGTGTGGTTTTACCCGCTCCGTTTAATCCCGGCTTTATGTGCACAGAAACGAATGTAAACATAAAATCCATTATAAAGCTGGCTGCGTGTTTTGACTTGTCTTAGTTTTTACACTGTACAAATGTGCACAGCGATTGTGTTAGGATAACCGCCCGGCTGTTTGGCCTTCGAAATTGATTTATTTCGAAATGCAAATACAGTGCCGGCGCTAGGGGAAGACAAATGGGACATATGTCGAGGGACCCGCGATTTTTAATTCGTATTTAATTTATTTTTAATTTGTATTTCACTATGGGGCCGATTAAAAAACTGATCCATGGGCCTTTGGTGTGCCAGGCCGACACTGGTAATCAGTAGGACTCTTAGTAAGTAAGCCACAATTTTTTTGTGATATTTGACATATAGTCGATTTTCTAGTTGATTGCGCATGTTATTTCATACAAATATTCGCTTATTACGACCTTTAAGGGAACCAAGAAAATAAGATCGTTATATCCGAATGACTAAACATACTAAACGTGAGATTTAAAACCAATCAAGTACATAGCTGGGAATCGTTGTACACGGGACATCGACGTATCGTTATATACTTATATAAACAGTGGCGTACATACGGGGGGGTTTTCGGGTTCAAACCCCCCCCCAGGACCAAAAAAAAAATAAAAAAATAATGTGATATTATTGATGAATTTCTTATTATTAATCAACCGTGTATACACAAATATACGTCATTATAATATGACTATTGAGCAAACAGTAAACATTATACTTAACCAACAACGAAAAAAGATTTCATAACGAAATTATGGGTGCCGTATAATATGGTATATCAATCAAAATAGACATTATTTTGATCGTACACAGTCAGTTAGTTGCGTGCGGATATAAATACATATTCATATTGTCTTTATCTCGACCGACTCATTATAAACACACAAGACTTTGAGTTTTTTTTTTTAACTCAGTTAAGTTAATATGCATACACATATAGATATAGTACATATTGTATTTTTAAGTACAGAAGTTACCTATCACATAAGTAATAAGTAATAAATAATAATAAATAAGTATTATATATTTTAGTTGTCTTTCAAACAGATATTATTTGTGTACATCATAATACGATGAGTATTGAGTAGGTATTTTTAATTTTAATGTTTAACTATCAACGTGAATACTGTTAATAATAATTTTTAATAATAATTAATAATCTCCCAAAACCGTAAACCATAAAATCAATAGGTAATTGATTTATTTTTTTTTGTTTATTTTTAGATTTTAGTGTCGGCAAACTATATCATAATATTATGTCTATATTATTGAAATTTTGACATGGCAACAAAATAGACTCAAATAATGAAATGTAAAAAAATGAAAAACAAAATAAATTAACTTACAAATAAAAAATTAATTCGTTAATTTAACGTTGATTAAAAAATAAATTTAGTAAATTAGTAGTTAAGTTAAAAATTATTATTATCACAGCATAATCATTATCATTCGATTTCGATATATTTTAGGTTTTGAAGGTAAAATAAATAGTAATCATGGCTGAAAAAAATCAATCGAAACTGCAATCTTTTTTTTCGAAACCACCCTCAATAATGAATTCATTGTCAAATTCATTAAATGCAACTCAAACAGTTATAAGTTCCTCTAGTTCCTCATTACCATCAACTGCATCTGCATCTGATACACCTATCACTCAGTTTACACCTTCGACTACAGATATTAATCGTACATCTTCCAGTTATAATATTTTTGACATTGCACATTACACAAATAAATTGTTAACGCAAAGTGAAATAGAAGAAATTTTGAGCAAAATTTGGGTCCCTGATATTAATTACAATTTTCTTATCAAAATATCAGTAGTCGGTAAACAACAAAAAGTTTTGAGGTTGAAATTTCAATATAAATGGCTAATTAACTTTCCCTGGTTGGCCTATTCAGAAGTAAACAATGGTGCGTATTGCAAATATTGTGTTGCTTTTACTAAAAATGAAGCCGGTGTTAATAACCAAAAATTGGGAGCATTTGTATTAAAAAAATATGATGATTGGAAACATGCATTGGAAGACTTTAAAAATCATTCGAATTTAGAATATAACAATCAATAGAATTTTTATTATAAATAATTAATAATATAATATTTATAATATTCTGTACTTACTATGTGCATATTAAATAATATTTAACTGCCATGAGTTACGTAAACCTTTGTATTTGTTTTACTATTTTGCCTATTAATATTTATACGTGTAATGTGTTTGATTGTTAGGAAAATGGGTAGTTGCAAAGAGAAAGTTTTAGAGTTGGTTATTTTTTTTAAACCTCCCCCAGAGCAAATTTGAATGTACGCCACTGTATATAAAGCATCGTAATTCGTAACAGAATAATACAATGTTCGTAATAAACGTCTTGTACTATATTTAGATTTTATGCGTTTCAAATAGTACATGGTAGCACCACGGAAACAATGTCATCACTTACCTCTACCACTACCCCATCCCCCGCCACGCCGTACGAAATCCGTCGTCGAGACGAAACATGTACAACAGGCATGTACAATAATTCGTATATATGTAAATAAACACTTCACTTGGTTGACGTTGTGCCGTTTTGTGCCCAATAATACCCGGGGCGGCTCGTCACAGGAGAGTCCGATACCGCTAGATAAATTATAATTATCTAAAAATAAAAATGTATAGAAGTAATTG